GTGTTTATAAATCCATAATAAAATACATAACATATATACATAGATTTTGGAGACTGGGAAATAACAATAACTAATATTCAAATTATGGTAAATAAGAAAAATATTAAGCAATAAATTTGTATATTTTGAAATGTTAAAAGGATCATTTATATCAACTACTTATGAAAATTACATAAAAAATGATGTTCTTTCGTAGGAGCTGTTAAGGCGCGAAGCTTAAAAATTACTTCGACGTCTAACTGGGTGTTGTCGTTCTACTTTTACTACCCACTACACTTTTAAAAATTTGTTCTATAATTGAACTATTGGTATGATCGGTGATTATTTAAGTAAAAGGCGACGTTTGATATTAATATATTTATTATAAAAAAATATGTTGGATGTTATATAGTTGGTGTTTCTAAACCGAGCTCTAACTTATACTAAATAAAAATTATTAAAAATTAAGATTAACCCATAATTAGACCCATAATTAAAATTAAGGACGCGGATATAGACAGTCCAGACATATAAATAACATCAAAATTAAAAATATCTTATATTACAAATGCATTTAGCGCTTGAACTGTTAACGACATCCAGCCGAGAGTCTGCAAGGCGACACTCTAGCGTAACAGACGACCCTTACAAAAAATCGTTCATATTACACTATTGGAACTCCTTAACAGTCGTAATATATTTTACGAATTCTTAACAGGAGCTAAGTTACAGATTCGGAATGATATCTTTTAGCTTAGGCTCAGGCAGTTTGAATGCTCATAAGCAGTACTTTCAGCGCACATCCAAGTATTACGAATTTAATTTTTTTTTTGCATGTGAGATATTTCTAGCTTCCATCGATTCCAGCTGCTATTCTTCATTGCCCCTGTTTAATTGAAAATGTAATGAATAATATCGTCGATTGTATTTATAACAAAAGTGTAACAGTCGTTTCGAATTGGGACAGTCGGTCTGCCGTCTTTGTGTTTGGGTGATGGGTGCCCGATGTTGATATGCATATTCGCAATCAATGAATTGTTTTAAGTCGCGTGATATGACGTAGAATTCGCGAATGTCCACATTCGTTCAAGCAATGATTCGTTCAATGATATGATATGATACGCCTCCGTGTCACATGTGCGCTGTTTACTCGACGACGAGTTGGGTTCGCGTGGCCACTGAACTAGATATATTAATTGCTTTTTATGTATTTATGTATGTACGCAGTGGACTTAAGTATTAGAAAAACACCTTTCTACGATGAAGAGATAGCGTTACAGCCAATAAATTTATTTATTTAATTTGGAATGCCTGGAAAAATTAAAGCGTATATGATCTGCTTAACTACTCTAAGTGGTGTTGACATTCCAGATATACACATGTACATATAATTATATTCAGATATACATAAGTATGCGTAATTCTGGGAATCCAAAAATATATTTTTGTACTCTTATGGGAATTGATTTTCGGCATTTTGGAACTCCACTGCGTTAAAAGTGTGAGAATGAAAACTTTTTTCACCATACTACTAAAGCTACTATTATTCAATGCTTTTCCAAAGTAATCATCTTTTTAAGTTTAGCACGCTATCATATGTGCCCATAATTATGAAAGTGGTCTAAGTCATATATTTCTTGTTTCGAGATATTTAATGATTTGCATTTGAATAAATTAAAAAATATTTTTACATTATGCGACATTTTAATTTTCAATTTTATTAGTCTTAATTAATGGAAATTTATTATGAATATGAAATTTTGTGTGAATTCCATACGATAATATTGTTTACCATTTTCAAAATTAACTGGAATGTCCTATAAATGACTTAAAGCAATAATAAAAAGAAGTAATTCGTGAGAATTTATTAATTTTTAAACGGTAATCCATTTTTATCATTATTTCGAGTATTTAAGATTCTTAAAATGTTCCTGAAAAACTGGAGGGATGTACGGTAGTAAACTCATAATATCTTTGTTTTCTTCTTCCGATACTGGTCTAATGCTGGTGTATAATGGAAGTAATTTAATATTTCCGTATATTTTTGGTCTTTCTCTTTTAGGTGAAAGATCCAAAACGTGAAATGTAGAATCATCTAAAGAAGTTTTATAAAACATAAAAATTTTATAAGGTTCATTTTTCAAGAATCTCATCCATTGAATTTGTAGCCAAAAGAGATTCGCCCGCGGTATTTTTTACTATTCTTGTTATTGTATCTTCTAATGATTTCGTTGAAATAAAATCCGGCTGCGACATTCGCTTTATCGAAAATGTATTGCTTCTTCTGCACTTTTCTATCAAATCATAATAATGCTCAGGGTTGTATAAGTAATTTGCTTTTTTTATTTTCATTTCTATCAACCCAAAATCACGATCATTCGGTAGAGAGGAATAACCTGATACCAAAAATTTTTGGCTTAGACCACTTTCATAATTAATACTAAATGAATTCCATATAATGTTGAAATTACAACCAATATCTAATGGTTCATTTTTGACAATTTCGTAAAAATTACATTGAAAACATTTAGTTTAAACTAATGTGGTATGAAATAACTGATAAACTTCATTTTTTTTTTTTCAAATTTTGACTTAGACCACTTTCATAATTATGGGGACATATAGTCTTTTTAATTGCGAGACACATTTATTATTCAAAGTATTTATATTCATATGCATTTTTGATGGGTGGTTTAAGATTGAATTCGCATATGTTCCATTGCCGCCGTAAACAGGCTATATTTAAAATACAAAGTTTGATATTCTGCCAGTTCTTTATATGTACAAATATTTTCTTAATTCAGAATTTTTCCTAATGATTTTTGTAGATTAAAAATATACAGTGAATTTCACATATTATGCCATTTTATCTTTCAAAGCAATGACAACATATTGTTATCCTAATTTTCTTTATATTTTATGACATCATCATATATTTATATTTTAATTCTAATTGTATATTTTATGATATTAATTGTATATTTTAATAAAGTCAATGTATCGTTTTTTGTAGGTGTTTATGTTAGGTATTGTTCTTGGAGTGATTGCAGCTATAGTGCTTATTGGTCTAGCTCTACTGCTTCTTTGGAAGCTTCTAACCACAATTCACGATAGACGAGAATTTGCAAGATTCGAAAAAGAAAGGATGATGGCTAAATGGGAAACAGTATGTATATTTATAATTGATTCTCTATTAAAATACTACTATAAATTTTTAGTGTAGAATCAGAATGGTTACGAATATTACAAACTTATCTTGTCATTTACAGGGAGAGAACCCAATTTACAAACAAGCTACTTCGACATTTAAAAATCCAACTTATGCTGGAAAGGGTTTTTCCGGTGATCAGCAACAGTCTTTTATTCAACCCTCATCATATAGTACTAACACCGCATACGTGCCTCCAGTAGGATCCGCATATGGTTCTTCAGGATATGGCGGAAGTAATGCTCAATCGTTCAGTTCCCAACAGGCGGCTGGAGATACTCTCGCCCGTTCTGCGAGAAGTGCTGGCGGAGCAGGAGGAGCGGAGCGTGAGCAGGTGGTGGAGCATGGGGCGCCGGTGGTGGAGCCAACGCCGCTGGCGGAATTGCGGCTGCTGGAGCCGCTGCAGCCGCTGGAGCTGCTGCAATGAGAGAACGAAGATCCTATGAGCAAAACCAACAGTCCTCTTATGGTGGTGGACAAAGTATGGCGCAGAATGGAAACGCATCATATATGAGTGGCGCATCTAGAAGTGCATCAGCACATGGCGGCAGTGGAGCAGGCTATGGGGCGAGTGCAGTAGACGGTTATGGTGCAGGGGGAGGCGGATACGGCAGTGGAGGCTATGGAGGAGGCGGAGGCGGTGCTGGTTATGGCGGAGGATCAGAAGTTCGAGAGACCGCAGAATACAAATCAAGTTTTCAGGCAGGTTCTAAAGGAGGTGCAGGTTACGGAGCTGGAGGTTACGGTTCCGATGCTAATGCCGGAAGCGGGTATGGTGCAGAAAGTAGCGGATTTAGCTCTGAAATGAAAGAGAGTAGTAACTTCAAAGGAGGCTATGGATCACAATTCAAGGAGAGTGGTGGATATAATAGTGGAGGCTATGGTTATGATGGAAGCTCTTCTGGATATGGAGCTGGATCCGGTTTTGCTGGAGGAAATGGAAGTGCTGGCGGCGCGTTGGTCAACCGAGATTTTGCTGGTCAAGGCATCGCGGGACAAAATGGAGGTGGCGGCGGCGGACATCAGACGACATACACATGGTCTGCGACTTGGCAAGAAACGTATGAAGGCGACGATTTTGGGCCATGTCAAACAAGCCTAAATGAATAAACAAAGATGCTAGAAAAGAAACATAGCGCTTACAATTTTTTTGTGATTGCAAAACTTATTTACTTACAATTAGAGTTTTATATTAATGCACTAACATTGTATTTTGTACAATATATTTCTTCGTTGCCATTTTAAAGTAAATAGTGCTCTTTATATCGTAATCTCATATATTATAGAAATGTAGAATCTCTTTTATATTTACTTTGAATGACACTGCCAGATGCCTTATATATTATTTATTAACTGGCATAGCAATATGTATTGAGACTTAAAAATTGACGTTTATATATATATATATATATATATATATATAATTTATTTTAATTATTATGGTTTACAATAAATGCCTTATTTTAAATGTGCCTCTTAAATATAAAAAATGTAACATATTTATATGCTATTGTGGTTTACATACTCCAGTAAATATATGATAGCTACTCAGTTTTATACTTTTACGCAAATGTATTTAATAATGTATTTAATGAATATATTAAAACAAATAATGTTATTTCTTTGTTTCATTTATTTATTTTCTTTGGAAATTAGAATCATTTATTCATTTTTCAGGTAGATTAGTGAATTGGCATAGTTTGCTTTTATTTGTTTATGCTTTTTATTGCGTATTTTGCAAATACACATTTAAGAACTTTGAATTTTTTGAAAAGACCAATAGTAAATGCAAAAAGTTACAATATTATGAAGTTTGTTTAATAATCCAATAGTTACAAAATAAATAGTATTTTAATAATATATTACGAATTAATAATCACACTCGTTTTACTTATTTTATATATTTAATTAAGTTTACACACAATATATATATATATATATATATATATATATATATATATATATATATATATATAAACATTTATGTATTGTCTAGGTAACAAATGAAGAGTCTTCCCATTTTGAACACCATTGATATATATTTGAAAACAGCTGACGCCGAGCATAGCCGACAACTTGCGGGTGTCAACGATTTGACAGATGCGCTTTGTAATACATATACGAAATTGAAACGCAAAATAGCGCATATTTGCTCAAGACGGAACTATAGACAAAATTTCAGTGTGACCGGTCAATTCATAAATTGATATGCGATAAATTATAAAAAAATCAAAGGTGTTAATCGTAGTTATTACTACTTTTATATTAAAGGTTTCGTTTACTAATACTTAAATCAAATAAAATGCTCCCAGCCGTCAGTGATTACTTCGGCGGACCACATAACTTAATTCGTGGTAGTGCTCTGTTTGTTATTGTGTTGTTGTTTTATTGGTATGTGATTTCGTTAATAATTAATTTCAATTGGATTTTGTGATATTTCTGACGAAACATCTATTCGCAGGTACGACATACGACCATATGGTTTATTAAGTATTATCTTTTTATTATATGTGCTTTCCGAACGAGTTCGAAATGAGTCAATAGTTTTTAATTGTCCCGCTATTTCGGAAAAATCACTGCAAGAAATCAAGAAATTTCGTGAAGATCACCCTGGAAAGGTAGGCAACTAGTAAGGCCTAATTACACTTGACTTAATAATAGTAATACCTATCAATTCAGGTTAATAGTATAATTATTTTTTCCTTTTTTTTTAATCAGCTTTTGCTAGTAATTTATTCCAAAGATTCTTAAGTTAAATTGTCTTGATTGATTCTTAATATGTCTTAACTACTAAATCTCTCAAATATATTTTAAACAAATATTGAGCAGTAAATATCAACAGAATCATGATTTAAAAGATTAAGTAAATTGTATAATAAATTAATATTTGAAGCATTATTCTCATATTAAATTTGTTATCCTTTTATTTACAGTTCTGTGCGTTCAGCAGTGCTAGTTTCATTCTGCTTGCAATTTTAGGAAATATTATTTCAGGCCCACTATTTTTTATTCTTATAGCTGTATGCTTCATAGGAAAAAAATACTTACCTGAAAATGTGAAAGAAGGTAATTACATTTATATTAAAGTATAAAATTAATGGCCAATTACTACCTGCAAATCATTAAGCATCTCTATTAACATTATTTATTGATAATATGACTTCTCTACATTTTGGTAATGTTCGAATGACTTGCAATAAGTTATATATGTTATTTGTTTCAGCTTGTAATCAATCAACATGGTCATCAAATATTAAAGAATTTGAAGATTTTATACCAGAATTAAATGAGAAAAATTTAGAATTACTCAATTATGCACAAGATCCAAAATCGAAAAATGATTCTGATGCAGAATCTGATAAAACTGAAGCATTCTTATTAGATAAAACTCCAAACATCTCAGATACTTCCAGTGAAAGCGGTGATGATACAAAATTAATTCCTACTGAAGGCATAGAGTTTCTTAGTGGTCATTTCAACGGTGATAGTATGATGGAAGATGATTATTTTGAAAAGGGATTGAATTTAAGAAAAATGTTACATTTGAAGATGACACAATAAATAAACAAATAAAAATTATAAGTGAACCTCAGAGTAATATTATTTCTGATATTGTGACAAACGTCACAAACATGCCATGGAACATAGTTTCTAATATGATTACAAGTACTTCACAATCTAGTACAAGTAATTTACCCAAAGAAACTGTAATCCGACAAGAATCAGATTCGGATAGTGAATTCGAAATATTAGAAAGTGATGAATTGAATATTACTTAAAAAAATGTTATTTAGATATAATGGTGCAGTGTTGTGTATCAAATGTGATTTAGTCCATTGTAAATATGTTTAAATTTAGATTAAGAATTTTACATATGCTTCGTACAGAGATGAGTGGTATTGTTTAATTTATTTGATCATACATGAGCAGAATATGTACAGAATTAATTTAAGATCAGTTTTATGACTATTACAAACCAAATAAATAAAAACAGTCAAATGGATGTAGAGTACATAAAGCATATGAAACGAAAAGAAAATATTAAATACTATAATGTTGATATTCTATTTTATACTTCTATAATTATAATTTTATATTATTTATTTATGAATATAAATATGAAAAAAAAATAATTTCTTTCAATGCAGATATATCTGCCAGTGAGATCCATAAGGCGGCCTGACCATAGTCAAGGTATGACCGACAACATTTTATTCTATAATTCACCTTTACTGAAGTTTATTTATTTTATATAAAAATAACAACTATCCTTTTGTTCAACATTTTGTTTAATGCATTTATTCCTTCATTTGTGTATTTAATTTAATTTACACTTGTTTCCACACATTCTTGTGTATCAATTTTATCATCAACTGGTTTTGCTCCTTTCCTCATTGGCAAGACTTGGAGAAGAGCATCTGTCCAAGTTTTACCCTCAGTAACACGGAGTAAAATTTCAAATACTACAAAAATTAACATGTTATAGCAGTATGTTGGCACAATACTAAATTCAAGTAAGTCTATTTATATTACCATGATCAATAGTCAAAACTCTTCTAGTCTTCATTAACAATAATTTTTCTAATGGTAATTGAGCATGCCTTAGGTTCTTTTCTTTCGCAAGTTGATAACATAGACCTTTATGTGCATTGTGATCTACTAAGCCACCGATTATATAAACTGTATTGGGATCTAAAGACTCCAGAACATTCTCAGATTCACTTGTTAAATAGCATATATCTGAATGTGGATAGATTTCAGAATATGGCTGTTCTTCTATTCTTAGCTAGAAGAAGCAAAATAGTTACAACAAATTTATATATAAAATACCCTGATCTAACTATGAAATGATTATGTGAATTATACATACATCCCAATTGTTATACCATCATGTTTAGACATAGCTGCATGCATTTTCCCACCCTTTTTCAAGCCAGTAAAACAGAGCTGCATTGGATTCAGTGCTCTGCGATTTAAAGTATATGTTCGCAGTAGCTGTTTTACAACTTTCGCTATATCCTGAAAATTAAAAAATATTATTAAAAATCAGGATCAGAAACATTTTAAGAATTGATCTATGATTTTCTTTAGATCATATTCCAGTCTTTATGATTTACCTTATCTATCATGAGGTGATCAAAGCTCAGATCAATTGCAACAGTTACTCGACAACTGCTATTTGCCATTTTTACATGTTTTAAACTTTTCCTGGAAGGTCCAGTTCTGTAAGGGACACCCTTTTCTCGAGCTTCTTGCTTTTTTAGTCTTTGTTTTTCACGTTCTTGTTTTCGCTTTTCTATTTTCTTTATTTCCCATTTTGCTAACTTCAGTAATTTCTTTTTTCTGCTCTTGGACATAGGTTGTTCGGCATTTTCTTCATTTTTATGGTCGGGAACAGAATTTTCTGATATCAAATTTGATGTGGGTGATTCAACTCGTTCAGAATTTGTTGTACTTTCCTCATTTGAATTTCCATTTGAATCTATTTTAACTTCGGCTTTAGAATCTAATTTAATCTTTTTATCTGTGGGTTCTGTTTCTTCAACTAATTGAGACATTTTACTTAAATTTTAAAAAGAATTTTATTTTTTTATTTAAATTTTAGGTTAGGCATATGTTGAACTGACACAGAATATGACAGCTGCTTTGCTTACAACACGTGGTGAAGTAATTTGACATTTGTGTGTGTGTTTATGTATATATGTGTGTGTGATACACAATTGTTTAAAAATTAGTTTTAGTAATGTCAAGGTGTGAAAGATATTTTATAAATATTTACTTTGTTATAATAAAATTAAAAAATATCATATATTATATTTAAATATTACATATATATGTTTGTAAGTGAGCTAAAATTTGACGATTTCATCGCCATTTTCTCAAAAACCGCTGCACAGATTTCCAAAATTTGAAAGCCATTCGATGAAGCTTGTTCGTTGATTAGTTTTTCGATGATCGGCCGAGCAGTTTTTCACAAATAGCAGGTAAGTGCAAAGTTTTGATGCTTATTGAAGCATATACACTTCTTTTATCTATGCATTGAAGAGTTCAAAATCCATAGGTTTCCAAACATTTTTGTTTCGTGGACCTCTTGGGCTTTGTTACCTATTTTTAGGCTATATTTACCTGATATCTTTTTTTTAATTCTAACTATACCAAATTTTATTATTAAATATTTCAAGAAAAAACAACAAGTTACTCGTAACATTTATTAATTGAGTTTAAAATCAGCATGTTATTTTTTGCTAGTATCCAAAGATATCTATCCACTGATTTTTTCGCAAAGTTTTGCCGTTTTTATTAACTTCCCGTAGGGTAATAGTTGCTGTAATCGTCCAAAAATCGAAATTGAAAATTTTATATTTCTTCACGTTTTGAAGGTTTCTGAGCATTTTGACATACCTCAGAAAAAAATGGATGTGTGTGTATGTATGTATGGATACAATTTTTCGTCCACGTTTTCGGGCGCACGGATCAACCGTTTTGAATGGTTCAAAAACATTCGATTCCTATTGATAGGGAGATGCGCTGATTAGTTTTTGGAAAGGATGAGCCAGCCGTTTCGGAGATACGGAGCAAAAAGTGCATAAAATAGAAATTGAGTTTTTGAGAGAACGGAGCATCCGATTTGAATTATCTAAAAATCGTTCATTTCGTAATGACGGGGAGAAGTGATGATTAGTTTTTAGCAAAGGCAGGTCCAGTTGTTTCGGAGATACCGAGCTAAATGTACAAAAAATGGCCGTTTTTGGAGAATTAAGCATCCGATTTAATGATTGAAAAAACTATTTGAAAACATTTAATATTCCTCGAACATTTCGTTACGGTACGGGAAGTTCCAGCAATTTGTCTTAAGGCGCGATACCATACACCACTAGTTTTTATATAAAGTATCCAAAGATATCTATCTATCCACGGATTTCTTCGCAAAGTAATATAAATATCTATATATCTATATATATACTATTTAAAAACATTTAATATTCCTCGAACATTAATGTAACGAAATTTCGTTACGGTACGGGAAGTTCCAGCAATTTGCCTTAAGGCACGATGCCATACACCACTGGTTTCATATAAAATATCCAAAGATATCTATCTATCCATGGATTTTTTCGCAAAGTAATATAAATATCTATATATCTATATCTATATATAAAGTAATAAAGATATCTATCCACGCTAATCATCCAGAAATACTAGAGTATAAACAGCATAAAAAATATTCTTTTCAATAAGGTCAGCAAATTGGGTCTTTATAAGCTCAACCATATTGCGATCACAAATCGAATGCCGACTTATACATTATGCTACAACTTACACATTTTTATAAAAAAAGAACGATATTTTTATTTACTTTTTAGTTTTGCTTATAAATATTACTTTTGATAGTATAATGTTAGTAAATAGATATTAACGAACGTTAGGGGGCGTCTATTAATCACTTGAGCGAGTTTTTAAGGTTTTTTGGACGCCCCCCTCCCACTTGGTGACACGTGGTGATATTCAAAATTACTCCCCCTCCCTCACCAAACATCACAATAGTATTTTTTTTAAAAAAAGTTTAAACATTTTCAAAAAAAATTCAAAATGTTAGTTTTATCACGTTACTATAGTTAAGAAATAAATACACATATTATATTACTATACCCCTCGCTCCCCCACGTGATATTTTGTAATTTTTTGTCAAACCCCCCACACTCCCTAAATACCTCACGTGATTATAATGGACGCCGCCTTACGTATATAATACGTAATACCACGTGATGTTTTGTGGGCCTTGGGCCCCCATCTTCATTTCATGGACCCAGAGCTTTTTTGCTTGCTTTTTTCTTTTGCCTCCTGAATGTTGCCAGGGATCCATGGGAGTCTAAGTGAATCACTTTGTGAATCACTATGTAAACTATAATTTGAAAATATCATATTCCTGCCCAGTAAACACTACTTGTTGCCGCAATATAACTTTTTATGTTACAAAGTTATATAACAAGTGTTAACTAAATGTAATGTACCCGCAATGTATTTTGAAGTTACAAAGTTATATAACAAATGTTAACTAAGTGTAATGTACGCGCAATGTATTTTGAAATTACAAAGTTATATAACATATGTTAACTAAGTCTAATGTAAGCGCAATGTATATCGGGAGTTACAAAGTTATATACATTTGTTACCTAATGTTATGAATGTGCAATGTTTTGTTAGAAAATATTTTCCACAACTTTATATTTTAATGAAAAATCGATTTATCTAATTTTTAAATTCCGGATATATATATTTTTTATATCAACCGATTAGATTGATTTAACTAGTGGTGTATGGCATCGTGCGTTAAGGCAAATTACTGGAACTTTCCGTACCAAAAATTATTTTTTTTTCAAAAAAAATTTTTTTTTTCAACTTTGAAAAAATTAGATTTTTTAAACAATTTTACATTTTAGAAAAAAATGGAATTATTTGAAAAAAAAAACTTTAGAAGAAAAATGTTTTTTATGAGATGAAATATCGAAGCGCGTAAGCGCCGCGTTGCTGTTAAACAAACAAACGATGTTACGGAACCC